GCCCACACCAGTCAGCAGCCGGACTAGTATGGTCCGATATGTACCAATGCACCACCACATTGTATAGAGGCACATACCAGTCGGCACTGAGAAGGAGGGAGAAGGAGAAGAAGAGGAGAAGGAGACAAGGAGCAGTGTAGGAGGAGAATGGAAGAGGATTACCAGAGACAGTGAGACAGCAGGTGATGCAAAACAGAGGACAGCGACGACAAGCAACAGGTGGCATGCGGTAGAAAGATAGATACATAGAGAGAGAGAGAGAGAGGAAAGTAGAGAAAGAAGCATGGTGAGAACCTAGAAAGAGTGTGGAAAAAAGATGCTTGTTGTCAAAACTCAAAAATAAAAGATCAATTAGTTTCAGACCAAACCGAGCAAAGGGTGTTGGTTCTTGGTAAGACCAGTAAATACCAGTCAATATAGACCATTCTAACCAATTTTTAAAACCATGGTATGTGACGTATAGGACATATAATAATTAATTGCAACCTTGTGTGCATTAGGCTGACACTTTTTGACTCTACTCCAAACCCAACTTTGTCAAATGGATTGACCCTATTGACGTGCTTGGCCTGACATGTAAGGTTCTGTGATACTTGGTCCTGACCTTTTGAATAAAACCAACACAACTCATCAAAACTGGGGAACCAGAAGATTCAACCACATGAAAGCTTGAATTGTCCAGCTCACCATTTCTGACAGTTCAGACTCTTTCAAACTGTATAAAATATATTATGCTACAATTTGGTTACAACTTCTTTTTCCTTTCTCACTATTCAGTCTTCACTCCATGGTAATCGGGTGGCTGTCCTCCACCTCTCTCTTTGTTGTTCTTTCTCTAAAGCTGCCTAACCATCTAAACATCAAATCAAACAGCAATGCCATAAACAAAATAGTCCTTTGTGACCCCACTCTCATGCAAGTATGGTTCATCTAACTATCAACCACCAAACTGCAGCCCCAACCAGCATAGGTTGATCAATGCTTAAACTGCCGACCCATGACGGAAACCAATTTGGGTCATTTTCTATGTTAGGTTTCAAATATCAAAACATTCATATTTAGTGAAATTAGATATGCTAAAGAAGACAGGGTATCAGTCACCACAGAACTGCCAATAGTACATGTTAAGTATCTATTTTCCAATACCTTGATATGACCATCATAAGCAATCAGTAAATTGTCTGGCTTCAAATCACGATGCACCACTCCCAAGGAATGTAGGTATTCCAATGCAAGAACCTGCCAGATCAGACTCCAGTCTCAAAAGGATAGACACATAAAACCAAAAAAATGCAAAATGATTTCTTAAGAAATACTTACAACTTCAGCAATGTAAATGCGAGCAACATCTTCATCCAAGCAACCTAAATTTCTTAATAATGAGTATAGGTCTCCCCCATTCAAGTATTCCATCACAAGATATAAGTTCTCCCGAGAAGTAAAAGAATAAAAAAATCGAACCTTGCAACAAAAAAAAAATCCAGTTGAGAAAAGTCAAACTTTAATATAGGGTCACAAACTTCAAAAGAACACACTTACCACAAAAGGATTGCGAACTGTAATTAGAATGTCTCGTTCAGCCAATATACTCTCAACAGCATTTTTGCGGATCATATCTGCCTTTTTTAGAACCTGAACAACAGTAAATCAATTTTCCACCCTAATGAGAATGCATCATACATCGCACAGCAGAACATGTCAATACTCGAATGTGATCATGTAAAAAAAGGCTAGAAAAATATATACTAAATATGTTTTGAAGCCAAAATGGACCTGGAAAATGGCAAAATAACAAGAAGACATGCCAATGAAATAGATTTTCACAACATGACAGCCATGAAACTAATATAATGTTTCTTGGGTATAAAATGGAAGTCTTGTTCAAATAAAAGAAACAAAAATTATGATGCACTTGATTAAATAAAATGAGAAAAAAATAATACGAGATAATACTGAACTTTCTAGGCGAAAACTTCATCACTCCATGGTCAATCAGGTAATTATGTACCTTAAGAATATGCAAAATGGATGATTGAAGATCAGAACGGAAGTGATGAAGAAAACAAGGACTAGTTAATTCCAGATGTCTGAAAAACAGGAGTTTCCCCAATATGTTGTATTGGCCATTCTTTTACATAAGAAAAAAGGCAGCAACGAAAACAATCTAGCTTCATAGCAAACACCTATGATTTCCCATACTTCCTGATACATTGGGTCTGGGGTACGTCATTTAACTATTTCCATTTACAGCCATGGATATGACATGATGACAAAGAAAAACCATAGATAGAAGATAAAAAATAAAAAAAAAAAGGCTTACATTTATTATAATTACTAAAAAAATGCTTGCCATAATAGACAACCTTTACAGCCAAAGATATGAGATAAATGTCAGTTGAGTTTAGGCATCAATGAATTACCTTTATTGCAAAAAGATCTCCTGTAGTTCTTTTCTTAGCCAAGAAAACCCGACCATATGCCCCGCGACTGATAGGCTTAATAATTTCAAAATCATCTATAGATGTTCGATCCTTAGAAGTAGGGTGAACAGGACTTGCTCTTAAGCTGTGAACTACATCTTCTTCTTCATCCATAACGGTACATGTAGTTTCAACCTTTTCAGCATCGAGTGAAGTTATTGAATCACAAAGCAGCAAGTACTTCTCGCTATAAGGTAGCACATAGCCAAAGATGAAAAAACAGTACAACTGTAAGAGGGGGCAAAGAAGATACAGAATGCTTTAATGGAATTAAAAAATACCTCCAGAAGTATATTTTCTTAAATGCATGCATAAATTAGACTTCCAGGAAAACTATATAAGAGGAAAAACACTGATAACATGCACATTCAGTAGATCTACCCACCAATGGAGCTTCTCTATACGGGTTCCAAATGTCTGTACAGTAAGTGCCTCAAGCTTCCGACGAGTCATAACTTCCTGTAGATCTTCTAAACATGAGACTAAATAATTCAAGGATCTTTCTTCATCCGACATAGTATTTGCTATGCATCGAGCAATATCAGCAAGTTCAATCATCTGCATCATTTCAGAGAAAATCGAGCATCAGTGGTGAACGACAAGCTCAATAATGAGCAATCATCTTCAAAAACGCTGTTAGAGAAACCAATAACAGCATCATACTTTTACAACCAAACTTTAGCATCAAACAAATGAGATGGTATCACTTAAATCAACTATGATTTAGGATTTGTAGCAATTAATCATTGCTTAAGGCTGCCTTGAAAGAGATTGATGTGTGCACACGAAGTAGCAACAAAATTTACAATGTTTCATACCAATTCTCGAATTAGGCATTAATTCGAAAAACTATGCAAATAGACATATCAAACCTTTGACAAAGATTACGAACTGCAGACATGGATGGATTCAGAAAGAATATTATATAAAGATGAAGGGTAAAAGTCCAAGAGAGTATCAGCCAAGTTTACTTCTAGAGGATACAATGTAAGCCTTTACATCTACATTGAGCAATATAAGTTCAAAAAAAATCATAATAACTGGTCAATTGCAAATTATAAAACACAAAAAGAAACCTTTTTCTAGAATGAAATTATAGGGATCAGCCAATTCACATAAGAACTAACACATCAGACTCATTGCAATAAAAGGTATGGCTTGTCATAAAGATTCAAAAAAGGGCTGATTTGCTAACAAAGACTGGGAAAGGAATACATATGAAGTATAACACTACACGGACTTGTATGTGAATGTGCAAGTGTTTAAATTTGTATTTTAATTTTACAAAGGCATGCAAGAAGCATAAATCTAAAGATTTTTTCCATAGATTCCTTGTCAATTGAGTCAAATGTAAGCAGTGCAAAACTTTAGAAGAATAAAACCTTTTGTATGAAACTAGGAAATACCAACCTGTGGAAAATCATCACTCTCAGGAAGTGTATTCTTTCCAGTCAAAAGCATGTCTATATGACTAGCCCTTGGTGTCATTAAAGGCGATCGGGGAGTCATGCTTCCTGCTGATGAGGTAGTCATTCCTTGATCAGACTTTGGACCAAAACGGGTCTTGCATGTCATTGATGACAGATTTTTTAGGTCATCTAGGAAAATAGGATTCTCAGACTCGTGAAGACAGTCAAGCATGTCAACCGAACCTTGCCGTGACAAATCACTAAATTTTGGTGATGAAATATCAGATTCTTCAGGCATGCTTGAATTAGAAATTTTGGCAACATCTGGACTTCCAGTTACATTAGGGAGATCTTTCTGTGTGTAGAAGTCCACCATCTTCTCTAGGGTCTCAGCTATTCTGATGAGACGCTCATCAACACTTAAACCTTTCTGATCACACCTATCTGCGACAGCACAAACTTTTGAGTGTTCCTCCACATACATAGTAGGAACATACTCCTCACAGATGCGGCACATAATTGAACCTTCTTCAGAAATACTCTGCTGATCAGGCCAGTAGCCCCATGAAACTTTGTGCTGATGCTTGGAAGGAGCTGATAGATGTGCAGAGGCATCAATAAGGTTAGTTTGCTCAGGAAGATTAGGCAGTATTACACCTTCATTTAAGGTTTTACTCAGGTGCATGGAATCAACTTTCTGATTGGTCAATTCATCTGCAAGCAGGCCAGACTCTTTCTGATTCTTTGTTGCAGGAGAAGGTAGAGGCTTCCAAGAAGCTATGCGTTCCCTGGTAGTAGAAGGTAGAACATCCTTTGCAACATCAAGTTGTGGGAAGAAGCCGACTGGCATCTCCTGGCTTCTTTTCCATTTTAGATTGCGTTGCTCTTGACTATGGGACTTCCTTGAAATGACTGCTTCCATGGAGTTCTTTTCAGCCTCGGTACATTTCTTATCTTTTGTTGGTCCTGATGGTACCTCGGCAGAATGCACAATCTTAGATCCTGGATACATAATTATCTCATCCTCGGCAAATCCACTTTCCTTGTGAAACTGTAGTAATCTCGTGCATCTAGTAAGGATAAAAAGCATGTGGGTATGAAGTTTTTTTAGCATTCCTGAGGGAAGCTCCTGGCGACGATCATCCAAATCCTGAACTATGCTTTCACACTGAAGCCAGAACTCCCCAGGTGTCATAACACAACAGCTCCGAGCAAGTATCAACAGATCTTCCAAAATTTCCTTCCACTCAGTATGGTTTTCTAGATTTTTCTCCATTATGCTAACCAAATCACCAGCAAAAATTGCCAGATCCGAGTTCACCTCTTCCTTTGCTTTCTCAAATTTCATCTGAATAACTTTCAAGACTTCCTGTATGGAACAAAGCACAATAAAATAATAATAATCATCCTACCCAAAGGTTTCAGATCTTATATTAATAAAATGTAAAAAAAAAAAGCCTTCGGAAAGGAGCTTCATTTAGACTGTTATCACCTTCAAATTGTATGTACTTCGAGGCATTGAAAATGGGAATGGTCGTACTCCTGTGGAACTTAGCTCATGTGAAAAACTCTTCACATCTCCAGGATTTTTCTTCCTGGGTGCACTTGTCGCCTGCATAATTTCTTTAAAGCGGGGAGATTCAGACTCCTTTGGGGTTTCACAACCATCATAAGGGCTCTGTATGGGCAACCAACTAGAATCATTATTGGCACCTTGATAAAAGAAACATAAAGGTGATATATGGCAAGATATGGATAGCTCGGTAGTAACTTAATCAAAAAGCAAAACTGATTTCTGACCTCTGCTTCTGAAGTAAATGTAGACTGATTTTTAAAACCCTCATATTTGTTCCATGATAATTTAGCTTTACCTGCAAGGTGAATAATATTAAATCTATTAGCAGAGTACAAACTCTGCCTGACCTTACTACTAACTAATGTCAACAAATAATTTACTGGAACAAGCCAAACATTAAGGAACCAATAAGTCTAAACATGCACAAATTTGAAAATGCAACTCTACATCAAGAGATCCAAAGCTGTACTTCAGTTTATATGGCAGCAAAATATGTCATGGAATATATGGTAGTAGACATGGAACAATGCCTCAGGCTTTAATTATTCACTATATTACAAATCAAAATAAATGAAAACTAATTAAAAAAGCATAATAAGTAGTCATCCAAAAGATGAGAAGAATGTTCTTTCATTATCCAATAGAGCAACCATCATGACCCTTGTAGAGAGAAAGGAACATAGTTTCCTCTATAAAACATCAATTTCAACTTTGTTAATGTTTTATATTTCTGACCCATTGAGCTTTTCAATGGTATATGACATGCCTCATACTTATCTCAAAATTAATCTCCTAACTAATATGAAACATATCATAAAATTTTGATTCATTGGAAAACTAAAAAATTAATGAGAATACTTTGAATTCTCCAAATTCAAGGCATGAATACACTTCTGTGTTAACAAGTGCCACTAAACCTAATTAATTAGGTAGTCCAACAACTGAATTTTCTTTCGATTAAAGTGTTCGAGTTGCACACCAGCCAATCTTTATTTGTTGATTTAGAGTAGAAGATAAAATAAGCTATTGATCACAAGGTATCGAACATCGAGATCATTTCATGATTAGCCCAAATCATCCATTGTGTTGGACAATCACACACATAGAAGTCGTATTCCTAGAATATGAAAGCTATATTTCCATGGAAGTTGTATGTATTCCTTGAGTATGGAAGTCATATTCCTAAAATATGGAAATTCTACTCCTAAATGAGGAAGTTTTATGGCTAATTAGAATATAATTGTCTTCCTATATATTCTTAAGTAGTCATATTCCTAATTTCTATGATTTACATGTATAGTTGTATTCCTTGTATATTAGGGCAGCTGTAGCATTATTTGTGATGTAATGGGATAGTTGTGTTTTAGTTTTTTAAGATTTAGATCGCTCTTATGAATTTTTAATGTCATTCATAATAAAGTAATGAGTGAAATTACTCATTCTACATGGTATCACATCCTTGAACTTTTTTGGATTTACATCCAATTCGTGGTCAGCCTTTTTTGTTAATGAACATTTCTATTTAGCCCTTTCTTTGTTGATCAATGTTTCAGTCTCCAATTTTATTTCCAAAATCTTCATCTTTTATCCTTCCAATCATCCCGACAAATATGCAACATCAAAAATAGACACCCCAACCAATTTAACACCAGATTCAGAACCATATTCATCTAGAAATCCCACTTACAAATCACTACTTAAAGAATAATTGAAGTCAACTTCATGGAGTGGTCTCAATCTGCATAAGTTTTCCTACAGAGTAAACGGAATACAGAGCATGTGATTGGCCCTTCTTCTGAATCATAGACATTCAATCCAAAGTTCGAAGGTTGGGATGTAGAAAACTCAGTGGTGATACCCCAACTGTTCACTCCATGCAACCTGAGATTAGCAACGCATATCTCCTTCTGAACACTGCAAAGGACATTACAGAAATTGAAGAGGCAGATTGTGTCCACCAAACAAGGTACAAATCTATCATTATATTATAATATTATGAAGGGACTGGTTAGAACTAGATCTCTATCAGAATGTCAAAATAATTCTGGTACAAGGAAACTTAAAGGGATGACTGAAAGGAAATGAATTTTTATTTTCTAGTTGCTTTGATCTTGAGTTTGATGAAGTTCATGGAAGAGCCCAAGGCAAAGACCCTCTCCCATTTATTAAAGAAGTATTTTCCTTGGTTTGTGGTGAAGAAGGCAGGAAGAGAGTTATGCTTCACCGAGGTGAGAATTCAATCCTGGAAAACTCAGTTTTGGCAGCCTCAAGATTTAATTCCTATGCTGGAAGAAAACCATCAGTGGACAAAGAGAAATTGTGGTATGACTACTATGACATACTCAAGACTGTGCTGGAAACTTCTTGGTAAGCCTCAACAAGAGAAATAGACTCAACAAGGAAGTGCAACAAAAGGAGGATCTCAACCAGCAAAAATAGAACTGAGCAAGGGACAAGCTCATCAAACTGTCGTCATTGAAAATATGAAGAGAACTTTCTCAGCAAAGGTGATGTGGAAAAGCTGAAAATTTTTCCAAGTCAACTTGGAGGCTAGAATTCCACTTCCATCTCAGGTTCTTGCTCAGTTGCCCGGCTAAGTAATATCTATGCCTTAAACGCATCTAAAAAAAATATTTTTAGCACCTCGATCATAGATTCAAGTTCTACATGCTATAGATTACATGACCAGTTCTTTGAACTTATTCACTTCTTATACTACACGTTCAGTTAGGAACATGAAGAACTTGTTGATGGGTCTTTTTCTTCTACAGTTGGGAAAGAGACAGTTCAGTTATTACCTTCTTTAACCTTCATATCAGTCCTTCATGTTCCTACCTTGACCTGTAATTTATTATCTATTGGCAAGATTACCCAACAACTCCAGTGTAATGCTGTGTTTGCCTCTTCTGAGTGTTCTTTTCAGGATTATGCAACGAGGAAGACAATTGGACATGCTGAATTGAAGGATGGGCTGTACCATTTAAATGCCAACCTAAAGGCTGGCAAATCAAAACCACAAAGCTTAATTTCTACTCCCTCCTAAAAAACAAATCGGATTTAGCCTTAGTACAGTTGCCTTGGCCATTCATCCTTTATTGCATTGGGAAGACTTTGTCCATCTCTATTTGAGTATATTAATGGTTGAACCACATCAAGCCTGTTTTAAACCACACAGAAGAAACAACTAGCTATGGATCCTTCAACTGATTAAGTTTTGCAAATTTGATCAGCTCAGAAACATTATGCAGTGGATTCTACAATACTATCTCAATCTACAATGTAAATCTTGAATCACATTGACATTTTGACCAAATTAGCAATTCTAAGCTGAAAATTAAATTTATCAGAATCGACACCATGTCCACTGAGTTCTGGTCGGCTAATATTAACCCCAAAGAGAATTTCATCTCCGCAAGAATATCAATGTAATTGCAGCAGAAGATTACCACTTCTTCCCTGCTGGCCAGACGAAGCATCCGCACTAGCTGCGAACCACTGGTTGCCAGCCCAAGAACCAGCAGACGACTGAGGAACCTTGTCTAGGCTCCTTCCATCCTTCTTCGGCCCACTACTACCGGCACCACCAATTCTTCCCGCAGTTGCTGCCGAACCGGACGAAGCCAACGATGGGTCGGGGCCAGCGCCTCTGGACAAGTTGCTATTCTTGAGGGCCGACATCCGGTGGTCTCCGCGGAGGCCCTCCTGCGGCAACGGCCCGGATCTAGTTTTGATCCGATTGAGGCCAAGCGAGGAGGCCAGGATCGGGGAGAGGGACTCCGAACTGGGGGACGCGGGCGGTGGTCCGACGCCATCCTGGCACGCGGCCGGCCCTTTGCGGGGCTTGGCCGGGGTGGAGAGGGCCAGCGGGGAAGGGGCAAGGGTGGCCTCCTTCCCCTTGGAATCCTTGGCGTCCTTGCCCTTCTTCTTCTTCTCCTTTTGCTGCTGCTGCTGCTCATGGAGGTGGTGCTTCTCGACCGCGTTCCCGACGAGGGTATGGCCGGAGGCGGCGTCGGAGGATTTGGCCTTCATCTTGTCGGATCTGGCGGTGGAGGGGGAGCCAAGGGTTGGGGTGCGGGGGCTGTTGGATCCATCGGGGCTGGACGAGGAGTCGGACTTCTTCGAGGAGAAGAAACGTCCCTTGAACACCATCTCACTCGCCCGCGCTCCTCCTCCTCTTTTCTTCGACAGCCGGGAGAGGAGAGGGGGAGAGTTGGTTCGCCTCTCTCGCACTCTTCGTCGTCGGTGGCTGCGGGAGACTAAGAGGGGAAGAGGGGCGGGGCGGTTGGCCTTTTGGACAAGTCTTGGCGAGACTGTATATTCTTTTTCCTTAAATTTGTTTATTTCGTGATAAAAGACAGTACAGAGGAAATGTAGGGAAAGGGCGGCGTGCGAGGGTCGGCTTTGGCGAGCGTTTGGATGCGTCCATCAAGTGTTTGTCGAAATGCCCTCCGTCAACAAACCGCAACATTTCAACCCGGTTAATTACATATTCTTCCTTTAGCCCTATGTTATCTTTAGCATTATCTTTATATTTTTAAAAATTATATTATATTTTTTATATAAAAAAATATTCCAACAAAATCTCTTATTTTTAATCTTATAAAATTATTTATTTAATCGTATATAATTAATATTTCGAAATACTAAAGATAACTAATTACAAGAGATAATCTATAATTATTCTCATTTGATTAGCTTTTCTAACTCTATCGAAAAATATAAGTTTTTATGAACTAAGTTAATTGATAATTTAAATACAATTTTTTTCATCAATAATTAAGATGATTATTAACTAAAATAAAAAAACTATAATTATTAAAAAATGAAAGGAGAAAATTTTGCTCTACCCTTCAACTCATCATTCTTATCTACAATAGTAGGATAGGATGTCTAATTTAGATCATTATGTTCATGATGTGAGATCAAGCATGTTTAAATATGGTGGAAAACGGTTATACATATTAATCCAAATGATCTTGACTTTAAGGTTGACAAATATTTTTAGATTTTTTATTAATTTAAATAATCAAATTATTAGACAAATAAAAAATTTAAGTGTTAATTGTTCCATAAATATATTGTATACCTCAAGATCTTAGTAGACGAAAAAATATTTAAAAATATTTTATCTTAAAAGTTTTTTTTTGTATAAATATAAAAAAATTCTTTGAAATTTATACGAGAGGTTGTCGTGTTGTTAGTAGCACTCAGAAAAAAAAAAACCAATCTCCTTCTCCAGTAGGATCACAGGACAGAGCTCAAGAACACATTCAATCATCCCCTGCAAGAGAGCAAGTCTTGAAGTAGAAGACAGCATATTTCTCATCTTGATGAGGTTAAGAATCCTTCACCATCTCTCCTTGTTGTTGTACGACTTATGAAACCATTTTGGCTTCTTTCAACATAGAAAGAAATGCGATAAGAAGAATGGCCTCTTACGTTGCCTTTTGTTTCTCCAGGAATCTAGCTAGAGAGAGATAGATGCCTTGCGAGCCTGAGGTACGGCTGCAGTCATACAACTTTGTATCGGTCACACTTAAATCACATTCCCTCGTACACACGAGAAAAAGATTCATTCAAGCTTAAGAAATCCTTGTTGGCCAGTCTGATCTCCCAACAAAGAAGAAAGATTCAAGCACCTCTAGGAGTAGTTGAAGCTGAAGAAGCCATGGCAACTGATCCTTATTGAAGTAGAAGTCAGGGGTTTGACCCTGAGGTGTCGCAGGACCGAGGCATTCTGCAATGTGAAGAGCCTCATGAAAAGATTGCAGTAGTTGTGCTGAAACATTACAAGACAAGCTCGTCAAATGCGTTGGTTCGACGGTCTTATCTATCGGTATGTTGACCAACTATAACTAAAAATTTTATAGAGATCAATAATTAAAATTTTTATGATTCATAGTTCTTATTTATGTTTAAAAAAAAAATCTTTACGATATGATATTAATTACAAATATACCTAAGTTAGCCTCGACAAAAGCATAATTTTTTTTGTACTCTCTAATATAAATCATAAAAAAATAAATTTCGATCCTCTCTAGATAAAATCAAAAGCACATACTATAACAACATGCCACTGGAATTAGTTCCATAATATATCCAAGATTTCATACATACTGAGATCCAGATGACCAAAGGCTCCTCCAACTAAATCATCAAGTGGCCATAACAAGGCATAAAACTGTAGAGTGTATAGAATTTGTCTTCAGCAGCACTGCTTATTAAACTTGGGTGCCTGTTCTGACAATCTACACACTATAAGCATCTAATTCTACTTAAACATATGGAGACAACAAACAGCTCTCCAAGGCTTACAGGACTGATAACACTCTTATATCAGAACAGTCATGAGCCTCCGGAACCTGGAATGCTGATCCAGTGAAGCTGCAGTTCCACTTCACCACGCTCCACATTTCTTAGTCTCAGGACAAGGTCTTGAACCACCTCACCATCCGACCAGTACACATGACTTTCCTCGGCCAAGCAGTTTCGCCGACATGGCACCACCTTTCTTATTATGGTGCCATTTGGGAGACCCTCCAAGTTCATCTTCACAGCCTCCACGAAGGGGTGGATATCAAACTCTGCATTGCCCATACGATCGTCGAGGCTGAATGTGTCCTTGTCATACACTTCCTGCAATCATAAACATGAACCATATATAAACTGATATCAAACTTCCTGGCCTATACAGATGAAGGTTGTGATGACATAGGCAGATCTGTTTACCTAGATAACCATCTCTATTAGTTCATGAAATACAAATTGGTGCCAGCAATAAGAACTTGTCATCTATTATGCTGAGTGTCATTCGAGATATGATCTATCAATGCTCGAGTTTTATGAGGTAGCAAATGTATCTTAAGTGTACTGTGTTGTTCAATCACAGGAGAAGTGGCTATGAATATGAGGAAGAGTGAGTTTGCTGGCACAGACAATCTGAAAAAAAAAAATATAGTTTAGCTCAAATTGGAATGGATCATGAAGTGTATACAACTGAATCAATCATACCCACTATGCTCCAGAGCACAGAACAAAGCGACGATTGTGATTAACATTATTACAAGCTATTCTAGGAATATTAGCCTATATATCTTTTGTAGAAGTATTTATGTTTTAGAAGTGCAATCTCTGCTCGCTTGAACAGTTCATAGCAATTGGAACAGTCAAGTGTTTTCCTCCTGTTTCTGGCTTTTAAGAGAATCTACAGGATGAAATTGTAAATGCAGTAATGTCACGTCTAAATAGGGCCAAAATTTATACTTTCACTAATTTACTTCTTTGTATATCTTGCATTAAGTTTGACGATGAACTTTGAAATACGAATGAAACACCATGATTTACAATGTCTTGGATATATTTTGTGGATACGGGAACCCTAGAGAGATAGGATCAAGTGATAATGCTAGAGGAATTGACAATATTAGCCACTAAAGCAAGTTGAAAACAGTGCTACCTCTTTTCTTGAGAAGGGATATGAAGACCTCTGACATATATCAACATCATCTACTACTCTGTCGATAAATAATTTGTCTACTAACTAGTACGCACAGAAATAGTCAGCTGAGGAGGATAGAGATGAATCCACGTAAAAATGTTTAATATTCATGATCTTTTTCAACCCAGTTTTAAGCAGGTTGGTGGCAAATTTACAGTTTTCTGGCCTAATTGGAGTCGATCCCATCTGAATGTCTGAACTTCACTCCAGTAACTACAAGTCATATCTGTAAATTGGAACCTACCTCTTTGACTCAATTATATGTAATGGCAGTTTCTTCTTGGTAGTAGTTCATCTTATTTGCAAGAAAAGCAATATCACTATAGGAAGTATATGTGAAAACTCTTTGAAACTATAACTGCATGAAAATAAACTGCTCCAAGCCTCTGCACCGCAATAATATAAAAAAAAATCTATTTTTTGACATTTCATAGGTGGCAAGCAGCAAAGATTATCGCAACGTACGAGTCTCACTGGAAGGGTAGGGTCTTCAACATAAAGTGTCAGCTCCTCGTTCCAAACAGGATTAGTATTGCATTTTATTACTCGAGTCTTCAGTTTCTACAGAAAACATTCAAAGATATACAACAATCAGATGATGGACTAATTGTGTAAATTAGATATGGCATAACAGCCCTGACATAGTAACAACAAACAAAAGCAAACTTTGATGATGGAAAAAGATATCAGTATCGAGGATCCATTTGGACTATTAAGTAGAGAGATGACTCAAAACCAGGATAAAAGAAGAAGCTCCTATGATTAGACCTGTTATATATAATCAAGTAAACCTACGAAATTAAAGTAAAATGCACTGTTCTAATGAAAGTTTTTGGAATGGCAATCATGTGACGAGATTCAGCAGTGATATGAAGAATCGTAAAGCAGTTGTTTTCTGGAATGCACTGCATCCGTACACCTGTTCATCTCACGGAGACCTTCCCCAAAATCTGTCTCTCTGACCATAGCTTGACAAGATAGCAAAGAAGCTGTTTTTTCCTACCTAAATCGATAATTCGCTTCATCTGTGCATCTTGTATGCAACAATCAACAAAAGGTTCGCACAAGAAACAAGATTTAGGCACGGTTTCGGATCTATCGATACCCAGGATGCATGCATTCAGCTGATACGCTGCAAGAAGAGCTGAAAGGTCGAGGAAGGGCGATCATCGACGAACCTGTTTGCCCATCTTGAGTATGACATAGGGGTCGCTGCTCCACAGGTCCCGGACGGCGAGGTTCACCCCTCGCAGCACCCGCACCTTGAGGAGGCCCACCATCTGCCCCGGCGCCGCTCGCTCCGCCAGATTCATCGGCACACCGACGCTGTTGACTCCTGCGCGCAGGCGAGGACGCAGGGGGCGGACGCGGAGGAGAAGAGAGAGCGAGAGCGAGCAGAGACTGACTTTTACCCGTGTTGTAGCAGTTTACGCTGCTGCTTGGTGGTGAGGTATGAACATAATAAACATGGGATTTGGGAACGGGCGATCGACGGAGGTCCCCACGCGGTCTCCGTAATGGGTGGGCGTTAACGGGTCGGATCCACAGTACCCGAAATCCAATCCAAATTTGGATCTGAATCCTATAATTTATGGATGCACACGGGATCTAATGTCTCACGGCAAGTCGTGAGAACACGGCGGTACTAGGGAATAAGGAATATTCTGTTATGTAAAACATGGTGATCACTGCATCGGACGACCGTTAATACTTGGCCTTGAGATGGGCACATTAAATGTATTTTGTTGCTTAGCTTAGAGCATATTTTAATATTTAACTCAAGAAAAAAATATTAAACATACTTAGATATTATGATAAATATTGATGATAATTGAATTAGACTTGATTCATGTGCACGAGAAGTCAAGAATAACGTGAGTGGATATTTCAAGTAAATAGCTATTCACCTTTATTATTATGATTTGATAGACTTTTTATAATTGGTTCAATTTGAATGAATATTTAATAGTATGAGTGAAATATTCTTCTAATATTTTATATTGGGTTAGTGTTGACTCAATTATTAATGAGACTTAATTGAGATAAATATTTTTTCTATCATTTGTTCCTTCGACTCCTAAGGTGTACTTCAAGAGTTCTCTTGGAGAATTCCGAAAGTATAGCCAAGTTAGCTCGACAAGTTGATGACCAGTGCATTATATAACCTTTAACGTTTAGCCCCGAGGTGGGCACATCAAATGTATTTTGATACTTAGCTCGAGAAGGAGATAATCAAACACACTTTAATACTTAGCCCAAGAATGATGTATCGGACATATTTTGATACTTAACTCGAGAAGGATGCATCAATTGTATTTTGATGCCTAGCCTAAGAAGAATACATCAAACTTATTTTGATGCTTCGCTTTCAAAGGGACATCAAGCATATTTTGATTCTTAGCCCAACAAAGGTGCCTTGAGTGCACTTTGACACATAGCTCTCGAGAAGGACATGATGATCGCATTTTGATGCTTAGCTCGAGAAATTGACATTAGACATACTTTAATGCTTAGTCCGAGAAGAATGTATCAATTATATTTTGATGCTTAATTCAATAAGAACACATCCGTTACATCTTTATGCTTAGCCTGAAAAGAACACGACGAGCTATGAAGAAGACGACACTTCCTGAACTACTATCATACTACTTAGGGAGAAACTTATATCGAACAATAGAGGGGACAAATGATGGGTCTCATATGGTTGATCCAGTATTGACTTGCATAAAAACCAAGTTATGGGGTTTTTGATATAATCACTATGACACTTCAGTTATAGAATATATTGAAGATTTTGAGTAAATAGTTACTTGCCTCGATTACTATGATCCGATGAATTTTTTATAATTGATTTAACCAGAAAAAAATATTTCACGATATTGACGAAATATTTCACTTAATTGTTGATCTTATCGATTTTGGCCGTAATATGTCGACTCTAATTAGGGCAAATATTTCTCCTAATCAAATCGAATGCCGTTATCATCATAAATCAACTCGATATTTCTCTCAGCACACCCATACTAGCATATCAGTTTACACAAACTCGGCATAACCAAATGCACTCTAATTCTAACTAAGCAAGTTTTGGGAAGTGCAATGACATGTTGACGATGTCAGACTCACACATATTTATTTACGTTCTCACGGTTCCTCTAATATAATCGAAATCCCATTAAATTAAAAATTGGATGATCTATCTGAGAATAAAAACATTTTCTCTTGTTATATAAGATACGAAAAAGACTAATTTGATGGAGAAGAAGACTAATTTGATGTCGAGAGCTAGAGAGCTAACCTAAGAGCTTGGCCAAGGAAGATGACTGACTACACAATGGAGCTTTGACCCGAACCAATGAAGTGGCTTAATTGGAGGCAAAATTTTTCCGTATCTAAGAAGGGTTTCGATAGTCTAATGATTGTTCGGATTGTTCTTATAAGACTACCACTTTAATATTTTAAGTCATCGTCTATTCATATTGGGTATATAAAACTAGAAAAAGATTCGAGAGTTGAGAACTAAGTTTTGAGTTTTTTAGAATTAGGGACATCGTAGCTGTGGAGACTTTTATTTATGATAATTATTATGAAGTAATCATCAAATACAAAATATTAAGTGAATCAATTTGGAAATATTTCATTTAGAAGCTATGTTGATATGGCATGCCTAGCTCGCATGTCAATGTTTCCTAGATGATTGGCCTTCACACATCGAGTCCTAATTGATCATAGATAATTACAAATTATTATCATATTATTTTGCCATGTGTAAAGAGAATAATGACATCATTGATGTGCCGATGCCACATGGTACTATATGCCAATGTTATAAGGTTGACACCTCTACTTTGCTTGGCAGACATAACGGAGCCATCTAGTTAACCCATCAACTCCCTTAATCGACACGATAGAGTCATATGGCCAACACCTCTGTTATACATTGTCATGAACTTAATTGATTTTATATAAATCGTGTGATATCTTTACATATCAACATCCTGAAACATCTTATAGTCTTTAAGGACCTGTAAAAGAGAAGACGGGTTAGAGAAAATATTTATCTCGGGATTCCACAAATAGATATTTAAGCAAACACTTGATAGACAATAAAAATTATAAACATAGACTTCACAAGTTCTGAATAATCATGCAACAAATAATCCAAGGAGGTTCGCCGTGGTTAAAAGTTTATGTAAGTGCTCATATGATATTATTGTAAAACAAAATAATGAATTAGCCCTAGACACTACCCCAAAGGCTCATACAGTCATGTACCACCCGAGTAGCTCCTATATGTTGTAGTAACTGATGCTTTGCACCACACTATAAAATTAGAAAACCCTTAAATGACTACCTAGATGATTGGCCAGCTTTACCTTTAAAGGCAAAAAACCTCTCATCACTTTTCTCATTTATAAACTAAAATATTAAAATTATCTTTTTACTTTTTATTTTTATATTTTCATTGATAAAACCAACAACATCAACATAAATGAACAAAGATGTTTAAAATAACTAACTGCGTGAGTTAATATATAATTAGCATATTCGACAATAGTTGTCGCCCATCCTTAGATATTTCTTACTAAGAGTAAAATGGTTCAAACATCTTTTTTTTTTGAGAGTATTTTTACCCAACTACGGTGATGCTTGATTGTTCTTCACCAGAGTATATTTAGGTTGCTTGATGAGTCTGATGACATTCTCCTTGTCTGTCATGAGTAGCAAATAATGTCTAATTTGCTTGTGTGCACATCTCGGAGTTTCACCTTGATCTGAGATTTAATTTGGTAGCAAATCTTCGAGGTGTGTCTTCATTCTCACATTAGATCAAGTTTGACTGCCTTGCAAATTCGAGACAAGCCGAAGAAGAAAACAAGAAATGGATCAACTTGATTCAATGCCAAATTACTTGTACCTTAATTCATCTTTTAGCCATTTCCTCGTCAAAGATAAACTTGTAGATGGTAAAGGCAACAAATAACAAGTTAGGGAAAACTTGTACATGATGTAGTCACTTGGAAGATGAACCATTGCATATACAGCACGTAGAACTTTTCCGCAGCAGTTTGGAGAATGCGGAGTGAATGGGGAAACTGTATCACGTTGCATTACGTCGAATGGTTATCCACTGCTGCAGCTGCAGCAAGCTCGCCGGTGCTCACCGGCAGGCTTCGTCCAGCTCTCCTCATACTTGCCTGCGAGGACATCGAACACAAATCCAGCACCGACACCCACAGCCAAATCGATGGTGTAGTGGCCTCTCGAGGCGAGCAGCCTCACGCTCTGCAGCAGGTTCAGGGCATCGAAGGCCCAGGCCATGCCGCGCCGCCGCGTCCTTCGCATGTCCAGCGACGCGATCACCGCCCCCGCGACGTGACCCGAGAAGAAGAGGAAGAAGGAGACGTTGCCCACGGGGAAGTCCACTCCTGATCCCAGAAATCCCTGTAGGTACGCGCGCACGTAGCAAGGAAGTAAGGTGATTAGCCCCATTAATGTACCAGGAAGAGAGCAGGCATGACGGGGGAAGGGTGAGGTGGAATGTATACTTGGGGCAGTGGGAGCTGGGTGGAGCAGCCAAGGATTCCCCTGCAGGTGAACATGAAGAGAGCCGCGATGGTCGGCCGCGGCCTTCCCTCCACCACGAAGGTCCAGAGAATGTAAAGCGTCTGCATTCCCACGAATACCTGAGGAGTTGCAGGATGATCGTCTGGTCATTTGGTTCGTCATCGTCATCGATCATTTGGTTCGTGATTCATACGTACCGTGTTGAGAGCAGCGAGCACGGTGTTGAGAGCGAGGTTGGTGGCGAGCACGGAGTGGAGAGACTTGGTGAGGATGAACCCGATGTCCAGAGGCAGAGAAGTCGAAGGGACCATCGGAATGGTGTACTCGACGGCCATGAAGAGCAAGAGCGAGAGCGCGAACGCACAAGGCACGTAGTGGTGCCTCGCCACACCCGCCACATCCCCCATCGACCAGCCGGCGAACGCCGGCCCTTGCGGAGGCAGCAGCGGCGCCGGAGGCGCCTCCTTTCTCTTCCCGCCGCCGTATGACAGTGGCTGGCGCCGACGGTCGTTTCTGCTGTAGTCTAGATGGTTGTTCTCGTGGCGGCGGTCCTCGTCGCGTTGGTCACTACGGTAGGGGACGCCGTCCAGCGTGACCCATGTCTTGTCGGCGGCCTTCCGCTGCACACACAGATGGGTAGCGCTCCCGCCCTGCTCCGCCGTCATGGTTCGCTCTGGCAGGCGCGTTAGGCATGGAAGAACGCGTCCTCTGCTAGATTTATTGATCTGCGACAGGAAACAGGACAGCTGTTACTTGTTATTGCGAGGGAGCGTTGGAGTCCGGACAAACAGCAAGAAAAAGGCAGAAGAAGAAAGGAAGGAAAGAGAGAAACACCACACAAGCGTATGGTTTACGGTCCACAGCGTGCAGGCACTGCAGCGAATTTGGTAGATAATGAATGCAGCGGTAATGGGATTGTCTACTCGAGAAAGGAAAACTGGGAGCGGTGGGGACGGATGAAAGAGACAAGGAGACGGTAGAGTCGGCTAGTAAAGAGGCAGGTGGGCGGCGGCCGTGAACTGCTTGTGCTCTTTGAGAACACATCTCAAGCGCGTGGAGCGGCTGGGAACGCGGTGGCGGTGGTGGCGTGCTGCACGTTGCCCCTTGTGGTCACAGCATCGCGAGACGCATGCATTCGTTTCCGTCGGATCGTCTCTCTCTCTCTCTTCCTTCTTGCCTACTTTAGCGTAGCATCCAGTTCTGGCTTTGCGACTATGACCAGTGGTTCAAGTAAACGAAAAGATCATCGCTTGCGATGCAACCACTTTCCTCGGATAGGTACGTGATCCATGGGAGGAGCTGCTTCTGCCACCAGCTTCGCTCCGTGGAAGACGGCGGCGGTAGGGACGGCTCGGGGAATACATCCAAGAGGAAGCTTCGTCTTCCTCTTTTTTAGCTTGATCAGTAAATTAGATACTTAATGCTTGTATTTCTCATCCTGGCTTCAGCCTCGAGAGGAATCGCATTTGATGAAGTGAGATCAACCGGATGGATACTCGTCTTAGGGAATTGGTGGCTCAACTGAGAACACACTATGAATCAATTTGCCAGAACTAATTCAGTGTCACAAGGAGTAGTGGCTGTGATGATGGCAAGAGCAATCAATGATCGATCGGACAACAGTACCTACTTAAAAGGAACCATTAACTTCAAGGCCCAAGACTCGTGTTCCACAGCGTTATTGGTGGTCCATCACTGCTGCAGGCAGAGCTGCAAGCTCATTTAAAGACCTGGACTGGTGGTGATGAAAGAAGTAGCCATGGCAGGTGGTGGTGGCGAGGATTTATTTAAAGACATGGAAGTGGGAAATGCTGATTTGGTTGGTGTTCTTTGGATCACACCGTGGGATGAGACAATGAACTTTTACTCGCAATTTATTGCTCAGGAAAACTATCACTAATTATTTAGTGATGTGGAATGAAAATAAAATTAAAAATTATTACTAAAAATTTTAGTAAACAACTTCTTATAGTAAAAAATCTTTATAATACTTGAATATATTATTTTTTTTGATGATTTTAGTAAACTATACCTCTTTCAATTTTTATGCAAATTTCATAACTCCGAAAAACTTTAATGTTTAGGTGACTGGCTATTAAAACTAGGGAGGTTTACAATAATCCTCAAATAGCTTATTTCGCCTAGGTGGTATTTGTTTTATGTATTTTTTACTGTCATCTTTTGAGTCATCATCATATATTATTTTGTTATTGTGGGCAAATAATACTAATTGGTTTAAGTGTTGAGGTTGAGACTCATTTTTGTAGATCGATTGCCTACGTTAGATTGTGGGTCAGTGTTGATGATTATGTAGACCACAAGCGTCAACTTGTAGGGCTAGCATTTTCATATCATTATTGTTGAGGTTATTGTCATTACCTCCATCATAAAGATCATCACTATTTTAATTATCACTATCATCATCGATAACATCATCACCATTGCTAAGTTATAGGGTCATAATTAGTAAATTAAGTTTACGATACATAAGATCCATTATAAATGATGAGTAGAGAGCATACTTAAAAATCAACTAACTAACAATATAAAATAATAAATAAAATAAATTAAAAATCCATTTTACAATACTTTTTCTTAATGATTTCATAAGGTTAAAGAAATATTTATTTATACGGGTTCTAAATATTAAAAATTAACTAACTAACAATATAAAATAATTAAATAAAATATAAAAATTAATAATGTATAATAAATGAATAACTTTAGACTCCTTAATAATAATCTTCTTCTGTTTTTTTTCACATTAAACAATATATATATGACACTCACATCAGATCACTTATTACAGACTCTCTGCTTCCCCAATAATTGCACTCGACCACTCTGAAACCATCATTTGTCTTCTCGTGTAAGCGTCTGCCATCTTCAACAAACCTAAGAAAGAGTTCAAAGTGATACAAATTGATCGTCACAATTTAATTTGGAAGCTGTGGAAGCCAACATTAATTTGTCTTTGTCTGCGCCCGATGATGATTCCCATCAAACCACCCATTTCTTAGAACCATAGAATGCCCTGTGTCCTGTTCAGCAGCTCAGATATGATTTCTTCATTCCCGGACAAGCTAATTGTGTAATCTCACAGATATGCTGTCACAAAGAGGAGGACACTTGGAATATATTGTCTTGTAGTACTGCACAAGTTACCAACAAGAACACCACAGGTTACTATTAGTGTCAGCTGCGGCTTTATGAAGCAGCTGCAATAGGTGGGGAAGTTGCTCCTTGGACGATCGGCGGGGGATATTGGTTGCTATTAGTGTCATCTTCCTCATCGGCGTCCCACAGGAATCTGGCATAGGAAGCCGTGATGTAGCTGCAGTCGCAAGGATAGGGTTAGAGTGGTGGTGTTCGCATCGCATCAAAGCGTCTGAGATTGAGCATGGATAGAGTTGGTTACCAGTCATCGGGAGCAGCTTGCACGGCGCGGGCGAAGTACGACTCAGCCCGAGGAGCGTCGCGGTTGGCCTCCCACACTAGATCGGCGTACAGCGCGAGCACCTCGGCGTCGCCGGGGTTCGCCACGATCGCTCGCTCGCAGTATTCCTGGGCTTTGGCCACATCTCCTCGAACCTGAAACGGAGGAGATCAACACGGTTGGCATGAACGAAACAGAGGGATAGAAGAGACGACCGATACCGAAGGCTTCGTAACACTCACGTCTTTCAAGAACTTGGCGTAGTTGCCGAGAATGAGAGAATTTGCCGGGTCGGCTTTGATCATCTGACGGTAATAGGTATCGGTTGCATCGTTTCCGCTGTTGGAATCTGAGAGGTCGAAGCCGCCGTTTCCGTCGTTAGTGCTCCCACCACGTCCTCCGCCGCCGCGTCTGCCTCTTCCGCCACCATCCCATATCTTTCCACCACCATCCCCGCTGCCAGTGCAACCATCATCCACGACGATGACAGCGACGCAGCATCCCTCCACTCCTTCCGTCACCGTCACCGCCACGCCACCTTCGTCGAGGCCCGAGCTGGACAAAAGCCGGTCCAACGAAGAGGCAGAAGAAGAAGGGAAGGCCGAACGAGGCGTCGTACATAACACTTCCTCTCCCTCCTCTTCCAGGGACGAGGACAGGCCGGAGGCGGCGAAGGGCGTAGCCCGGCACTTGGGCACCGCCGTGGCGGATAGGCCAGAGAGGTCGCCCTCCGACAACGTCCGGGACATGGTGGTCACCAGCCGCCGCCGCGGGCACGGGGACGAAGCCAAGGGTGAGGAGCCGAAGGAGGAGCTGGAACACGAGGAGAGGCAAGGGGTGAGGTGGGCCACGGAGCGGGCCCTCCGGATATGCGGGACGGGCAACTCCACAGCCCCCGCCGGGAACTCATGGGCCCCGGCCTCCTTCCCGGGCGCCACCCACGCCGAGTTGAGCAGCGGCGACGAAGAGCTCCGAAGGAGCATCGCTTGCAGATATGAAGAACAGAAGAAGAAGAGAGTGGCGTTGAGAAATCAAGAAGTAGATGAGGCGATCCCCATGATCGGGGATGACGACCGCGTTCGCTACCATTAAATAATAATTCCGCCCTTTAATTTATAGCCTCGAGCGCCAAGTGCAAGGCCCGATCTCACCGTCCGTTAGATAAAGCAGAGGGAGACCCTTCTCGTAACTCGAGCAAACTACCCACTTCGTCACCCGCTTTACTATTGGAGGATCAACGGGTGTGGAACCTACATTTTTGACAAGTTGGAGAGGGGGTAAAACTGACAAGGTACGTAAAACAATCCTTTTCGAGAGGAAGGATACCTGGCGCGAATCGTCCGGAGTGGCAAACGGTCATTGGCGAGAAGAATCGCAGAGTTCTGCGGCTGCCGTTTCGCGGTGAATGCGTCGGGCGAATAAAATCTGGAGAAGACCAACGACCCCGCCACGCCGCTCGGGTCATATCTCAGCACTCGATCACGCGGGTCGGACGTGAACGGTAGAGATGAGCCTTGTAAGGAGAATTCTCCGGCGAACGCAACACGCGAACGATGGGATACGCCAGAAACACTGGGCCCGAGGACCGTCGGATTTTGTCGATTAGAGTGGCTCGGACGGACGATATTAGCCGGTACCACGTGATGCTCGATGGGGATTTGACGGGCCTGTCTCTGGCCCTCCGCGGGTTGCAGTAGCTTAATCAGCAGCTCTCAGGTGCCCCACCGTCTCTTGCTGTGACCCAGATCACAAGTTGGGTCAAAGTTGTGAACAATTTCGACCACTGATTTCCTTTGTCTTTGGCTCTAGTTCTATAAAATCAGATAACTGCACATTTTTCTTACATCAAGTCCAGATTTTTATCTTCTGGTTCTCTTCTCCCTCGTGTGTTCGTTCGGTAGGAATCGGGAGCGAGACTGCAGATTTTTGTTCCTCTGATATACTGCAGATTAGTTTTTCTTCCTCGTGTGTTCATTAACAATTGTGTTGCTAGGATCATTGGGCACAGATCGACACCTGTTGATATAAACAACAGTCTTCTTTAAAAAGGATGTAAGTAGATGGCACAATCTATTATTGCATGGAGGTCATTAGAAGAATCTAAAATATATTCCTCATTACATACATTTTAATCTGACACACATAATATGATCTAGGAATCCCTTTGTTTGAGACTAGTTCTTGTGATAGGCATGTGTCTAATGCATGATATAATCTTATCGTAAATTTATTTGCTGATAGTTTCTCTTTATGCTTGAGAAAGAGTGAGAATTAAAGAATGATTCACCATCAAAACAGTATTCCTATTAGTCTATTAGAGTAAGTTTAACGGTTTCCGAACTTTATTTCATCGAACAGCTTAGGCTCAACCTTTTTTTCTTTGGGGGTTCAATTTAAACACTCTGTGTTATTACGTTTAGCTTCTTTTTCTTTAGTTCACCACAAAAGGAGTATCCCACTACAATATCATACAGCAATTCTTCATTTATCTTAAATTCACTCATAATTGTATTCCATGAAGTGATCATTACAAATAGTCCTATAAGAATTATAATTGATCAAAACCCTACCCAACTCAAAATTCAGAAGCTTCCAACTCGACAAAACATATGGTCCTACATAATTCAAATATCTTGTCTTATAACTTATCCGCAATCAGGATTACAGCCATCAATTAAACTACTGGATCCTATTTGGACCAACTTTTGATCACAAAAGCAGATAAATTGTAGATCTCCAAAGAAATTGTCAATATATCTAATACCACCAAAATATGATAGGCTTACCAATAAACATGGCGAAATTACACTGTCCATTCGCTCTAGTGGAACTTTGAATTCATGGAACATCAGTATCGGATTAAACTTGGTCTATGACTTATTGATGCAACTCAACTTAAACAAATTTATAATTATGCCCAGAGAGTTTATCTGCATAATAACAATGATCTTAGTAATTTTACATTATGTGGTTTTCGTGAACCTAATAATTTGCGTTGCCTAATGAATTACAGTCATGCATTCAGGAATTGCTGCAAGAGAACAGGCAAATTATTTAAAGATTTATTAGTCCATAATGATTCTAAGGTATGCTCCAAAATCAAAGGCATACTACAGTGACAAATTAATAATTATAAGGATAGATGTACCTAAGGAACAGAAATAAGATAAGAACAGATGTAACATCATGCGGGAAAAGAGAATCGAATCAAGCCGAGGTTTACCTAGTGGTAATGGAGTTTTTGCAAGGTTGAGCTGTCGCGATGTCCAAACGTGAACTCCTCTCGCTCTTTCTTACTGGCCTGGAGACACTGTCAGCAATGACATTTTTATCATCAGTAGCTCAAAATTCACAGGAGGACGTAAGAGAGTTTCTCTTCTGCTTCTTAGAGGTATGAATTGTCCTTAAGTCACTGTAGCACTTGCTGTCAGATGGCAACAAAACCCTTTCACCAACTACAGACCATCTCAACCTATAACATAGAGGTATAGTGACATGACAGCCTCATAGATGACAATAGGCAACAATATAAAGAAAGTAATATAAGAGGTACTACAAAGGAAGTAGACAAGCTTCCCATTTCCATCCAAGAAAAAGTAGGGAAAGGCACCCGAGACAGAGAAGTGATGCAGGTGCAGAAGCAGGTCTCCTCACGGATGGCCCATAAAAATTCTCCAAGATCTGATTGGCTTTGGCCGTAGCGAGAGTCACTTTGAAGTACTACCGTTGAAGTCATGTTCGGTGCAAATTCCATGTGGGAGGTGGGATCAACAACAACGCCAGCAATTGACACTCGCATCTGCAGGATCATGACAAAATGCATAGAACAGCATAAAGCGTATGGCATTTCCAACCTTGCATGGAACAGAAGCATATGACAAAATCTATCTTGACAAGATCCTCGATAGATTTATACTGATCTACAGGGTCCACTCCCAAAGCTATAGTCTTTTCACAAATTTCCATTGAAGTGGACACCCATACTTGCGTCACTTGCGTTCATTGAAGCAAAAATCGTATAGTCCCAAAGTTCTACATTCAGAGGATCTGCAACTTGCACACCATCAATTTGGTCTCCTTAAATGTACTAGAGAAATTTCAAAGGCAGAGCTGCTCTGGGGTATAACCTTAAATAAAATAGTCTTATACACCAGGTAACCATTTAGGTTTTTGGCGTGTAGACTCCTGCCTAAACTTGATTAGCTAGACTTCAGTGAGTTTTTGTAAAGCTGACAGTATTTTGAATCATGCTCTATTGTAGACACCATATATGGAAATCATTTCAACGACCATTAAGAGGAAAAGAAAGAATAGCTTATGAGTTCCAACAGCCCAAAGGAACTAATGAAGTATCAAATAAAACTTTCCAATCAGTATTTTCAAAAACTGTAATGTGTTAAATTATAAATAATGTCTACTGTTCTATATGTTCCGATACTAAGCTGGTGAAACTAAAAATTGATAATAACCTATTAATACTTCATTGCTTCTGATTTCCTAGCTTCTAGTGATTTGGACAAAACTCTGAAAAAAAAATCTGCCACCTGCTAAAACAGCAAAAGTGTCTAAATATAACTAATAGGCTAGTTCATGACTTTAACTGAAGTCAATTTTTAAGTTCCTGATAAGGGGATCTTATTTTCAGAAAATATCATTTTGATTTGGTTCATACGACTCCAGAATCCAGGTACCTTCAACCGCATTCCATGGTCAATTTACTACCACAGTCCATTTCAACCTAACCAACATCTCAAAATCTTCTCAACTTCAGGGTCACTGATCAACTCTAGAATTAACTTGAGTGCAATAAAGGAACCAAAGTTTCAAACAAGATATTGTGCATGAACATGAAATCTAGCTTAAACCATGCAGCAGGAGTATACACAGACATTGATAAAGATGGTTAGGACAAGCAGTCATTGCCGAATATGAATGAATCATGAATAGGAAAGCATGACCATCCATCCCAACCTCCCACATGAAGCTGGTTCATTTAACTTCATAATCCAACTTCAAGATTTGTGGTTCTTATTATATAGACTGCTATTAACATTCACGGTTGCTAGTGATACCAATGTCTCTTGCTATCCTAGTATACCTTGCAGTTAATCAAGTCTATCGCACACTATCGATTTATTTCTTTCACAATTATATTGGGATACATACAAATGTTCAGAATTTGTTTAGTATTGGACTGACTCCTTTTACTCTCTTTTCACTTAGTGGGATGACTTAGTGGCAATTCATTGAACTGAATGCAGAGTTTATCAAGATCATGTTATTATTGACAGCTTAATAACCCTAGTCTGCCTTAGCTTTGATCTAGAAGGCACCTTGACCATGGTCTTTGTCAGCTCGATTGGGTTTTCTTTCTCCTCGTTTCTTCGATCTACAAAAATTTGTGAGTTTTCCATCTCCCAGATACAGCTTTGATCAACAAGTCCTGATAAAATAGGATTTTGTTGTTTTGTAATGATCCGATTGCCTCATTTCATACACCGGGGATAGAAATTATTGCAACATTTACCATTTTTATAGCATCAAGCAGCATAAAAATCAAAGCATAAACCGAATGACTACGACCTAGGTCATTTTGGCCTGAGCAGAAGACGACAACCCACATCACCGCACCACATTGCAAAAGAAACACAAATCTGTGGGAAACGAAAGATCGAACACGGTATCTCCCAAAGTCTCACACAGAAGCGTAACCAATCATAACAGAAGGAACCATCGGCCGCAGCACCCAAATGAGGAAGAAATGGCGGAGGGGAGAAGGGAGAAAGGAAGTGGACTAACCAGAGACGGAATCGAAATCCCCTGCTATAGGACGAGGTCGGCTCCGGCGGCAAGCCGGCGGCAGGGTCACCACGGTGGATGCAGAGGAAACCCTATAGCAACGAGCGGGGGAGAAGGAACGAAGGAGCCGTGGCGAGACGAAAAGAGGAAGCAGAAGCCCTGAGGGCGGTAAATGATTCGAATCTTTCTAGGTCTCCTTTATATTCCCTTTTTGCCCCCCGCACATGTGATTAAATACTTGACCAAATTATATATATATATATATATATATATATATATATATATATATATATATATATATATATATATATATATATATATATAACAATTGCACATCAACTAAATGCTCACTGACCTCATGCATTTTTCACATTGAGTTAACACAAAAGCAGCCAATTATTTCGTCCCTTTGATCATTGGCCATTGTTAAATATATGATTAATAGTCAAAAGACAATTAAGCTAAAATATGAAGCTATATATCGAGAAATATAAGCAGTACAAACTACAAAGTACATATCACACGTTAAACAAAGAATCTACGGCTGGTAGAGCTTATTGCCGCATTGGCATTTCCAGGCAAGCAGGTAGTAGCCGTCATCTTCTTCATGCCTTAATGCTGATAAGCTCCTCTCTCGTGGGAAAGCGACCAGAGTCGCCATGCATGGGCTGCAGCTCGAGCACTTGTTCATGCATGAAGGAGGCCTCGATCCTAGAACCTTCCTCTTCAACAGCAAGCTGCCTCTAGTGGACTCGGAAGACGCCAACCCAGCTGTCGAAAGGGAACAAAGCATATGAAATCGTCGAACAGGTAAAGGGAATGGAGAAGAAGCTTCCGTGTTGCTTCCTTGCCTGGGCTGGAGGATAAGAATGTGAGGGAGAAGACGATGAGCACCACCACGGCGAGCCTGGCCATTTTCACGACAACTTTGCTGCTACGGAGGAAAGAGAGACAGGGTGGCGAGGCGTCGCTCTTGCGGTGGTTTCTTCCTCGCAGTGCTTCTCCCTTCATTAAATGAATGATCCCAAGACAAGAAAGGATGACTCCACCGCTACCACTCTACAGTTCCGAGCACTACTGCACTGATGCAAGTACCAGGAAACGAGAAAACCACCGCGACTTATCTAGAGAGATAAAGTGATAAAGAGTTATGTAGTGTAAATGCCATGGCAGACTCCTTACTGGGAGTGGTGGTGCTGTGATTGACTGACGAGACGAGTTCTGGGTTATGCTTGTAAGATAGTAGTGGTTGGCAGAATCAGAATCACTGAGTCGATCTCTTTCTCTCTTCTTCTTTTTCTTCTCCTCTCCTCCCAATCCATCAGCATCGGGCTTGAAGCGAGAGTTGGTTCACCTGCTCCCAGCGTCAGCCGGTGAAAGAAATCTGCAGCGAACAACAAGTGTCACTCGACAGCCATGCTACGAACTCCGGGGGGGGAGGGAGGAGGACTAGATGGTCTCTCGATCGGCATGACTTTTTGTCAGAACCTGTAGCTTGCTGGACTTCCTTTTCTCAGTGATAAGTCCAATCCGACGAGTAAAATAATATACGGTCATCGCAGGAGCAGCATGGCGGTCTTCTTCGTGTCTGTGACAGTGCTCGTGACCGAGTCCGAAGCATGGACGAGTCGATGTGTATGTATAAAAATATATGCATGAATACATATGGTGATCATCAACATAAGGCTGAAACATTGGCATGATGGGAATATGTTCAAAGTTTGTGCTTGCCTCGTTGAGACCACCAATAATGTCCTTGTGCAAGCCAACAGGCATAATCACAAGACATGGACACAGCAGACGAGAAGAAGAATCACATCACCATCACAAGGCAACTTGACACCACCTTTTTGCTAATGGAGGAGCAAGTGTAGACGTTGCGATATCTGCAGCCACCCAAAGCCCGGAAGCACCAGCTCTACAAGCAACAAACACTAATTGATCCACATACTGTTCGTGATCAATCTCTGTCACTAATGAGCCATGACGAAAGGAACCAGAGATCAGTGTACCTGGTCAGCATTGGTGCACCATGGAAACCAGAAAAAAAAAATCTATGGATCCATCAAAACAGCTTCATTGATTGCATAAAGTTGGGGAAAGTGTAGACATCCGTAGCCACCCAAAAATGAAAAGATAGCAGGAACAAGTACTGGTGGATCGTCTTGTATCACCCACTCGGTAGGCAGAGATGTTACATGTTTCTGTCACCATAAGCGCAGCCCACCCAGAGGAGCATCAATCTGTCTCGAGAGCCATAAGACCAGCTACAGAGACGAGGCAAGGAAAACCGATACAATCATGTACCATGAATCAAGTTTGTTCATTGTAGAAAGGTTGCTTTACAGCTCCCCATCAGCCTGCCAAAGTAGGCATTGGAGGAGACAAAACAACCAAACCGAAGGAAGAACATCACTGTTTGTCTCAGAGCAAGCAAGAACGGCAACAGATATCATTATAGAATGACATAGATACTATAAGCCAAGGAAACCGATACAATCGTGTACAACAAAACAAGTTTATTCATTACAGAAAGGTCGCAGAGATTACAGCCCTCCCTCTGCCTGGAAAAGTAGGATTTGGTGGAGAGAAAACAACCACACAAGGTTGTCATGGCGTGCTCAAACTATATGCAGCCATGGCCAAATCCCATGAAGCTCAGGCATCTAAACAGAACTGTGCAAAAAGCAACCAAACAAGACCCACACTGAAGACGATAACAGACCCAAATGACTCAGAGGGCATGAAGCCCAGACTGGAACACTGAGGACAGACCAACTTGAAACTCACTGGACGCAAGTTTGACTCACAAGCATTGTCTTGGCTCAAACACAAGAGAAGCAATATGTGATGCTTCCCCGTAAGACCTAACCAGGATCATACGAAAAATATCTAGTACATGAGATAACCAGACTTGAACAAAAAAACTTGGACTAAGACCAGATATGGTTGTGATCTCCAGGACCGAAGCCAAAATAGAGTAAAGCCAGCCAATCAGTGATTGGCAAACACCCTAAACAGAGTCCTCTTGCGAAGAACATCTGTAAAAAAGCAATCGGCCACGGGTCCTGGAAGATGACCAAATCTGCCAGAAAGTTGGAAGCCCATGGGCAGAAGACATGAGCCAAAAACAAACTGAATGTACTGCTGCTGCTCACGATCGGTTTCTCGTGCCGGAGCTCATGAAAGCTTGACTATCAGACTCCCAAGAGATTCCCCTATACCATATTTCAGCAATCTGTTCGTCTAGGAAATGATGTCACACCACCATAGCTTCTCCTCGAGCAACCCAATGCCGTGAATGCTGATCAAGCTGCAGTGCTGAAGATTCAGGCCTACCATAGACTTCCCCATGTTCCCCAAGAATGGTAGACTCTTGTCTGTGACCTTTGAACAACTTGCAAGAGAGAGTGTACATAGGTTAAGCTGCCTCGCTGATGCCAGGACTGCCACACCGTAATCGCTTATTGAGGAACATGACAAATCAAGGTCATCGAACACAGAACAGCTGTCCGCAATTGCCACAAGGCTTTGATCGGTAATTCTCTTACAACCATCAAGATTAAGCATCTTAAGTGTACTTCCATGCGCCTTAACCAGCATAGTGACCAAAGCATCTGTCAGATTAACACAACCGCTTAGATTGACCTCCACAAAGCCCACCTCAGAACTCTGGATCAGTGGGATGAGCGAAGCATCAGTCACCCCAACTTGTCCACTCAAGTCCAATTTCTGTAACTGGGGGCAGATCTTCCCCACCACTTGTAAACTAGCCCCTGTGACACCTGGACAGTCTCGAATGGTTAGGGACCTAAGTGACATGCATGATGGCAGTTGGGTAGGAGCAAAAGCGATGTCTCTGATGCCCAAGCATCTCACTAGAACAAGCGACTTTAACTCTGGATTGCATGTCAAAAGGGCACCAAGGACACCCATGAGAGTGATCCGGTTACAATCCTCTAGGTGCAAGTTCTCAAGAGCCCTTGCTGTTTCGGCAAAAGATCTCAAACCAGCATCAGATAGGTAGCAAGACTTTCGAACAAAGAGCTGCTTCAAAAAAGGGGATCCCTTCGCAATAGCTTGCAACCCTTTATCAGTAAGCCCATTGCAACAATTGATAGTGATGGACCTCAATTTCTGCAAGCCAAGAGCATTGCCCATAACCCAAAATCCCTTCTCACCCACGTTCTGGAGCCCATTCAGAGACAGGTCAATTAGATTCTTTCCATAATGACCAATGACCGCGAGAACAATGTCACTGATATTCAGGGCCTGAAGTTTAATCCTTTCCAAGCAAGAAGAGGCGGAAGAGACCAAGCTTGCAATTCCTTGGTCACCAACATGAAGGCAGTCCTTGATGGTAAGAGACTTTAGTTTCGGACAGCTACGACCAATAACCTGAAGACCTTCATTGCAGATGTTTGCGCAGGATTCAATTGTCAAAGACGTCAAGTTGGGGCACTTTTTAGCAACAGATACCAGGCCCTTGTCCGTGATCAGCGGACACTGACAAAGGTCAAGCTTTTCTAACAGGGGGCATCCGTCAGCAATCTCCGAAAGACCAGCATCAGTGATTAATGGCACCTTCCACATGGACAGAACCCGGAGGGCAGGACAAGCGTGAGCAATTGCAGAGAGGCCAACATCAGTGACACGAGTCGAATTGCTTCCTTGGATGAAAAGCTTGCCGAGCCCACCACGGCTACAGGTTCCAAGGGCGATAGAAGCAAGCCTGATATCCGTTGCTTCCTCTGCATCCAAGCGCCTGGTGAGATACCCGTTGTTCTCACTTTCCTGCTCATCCAAAAGCACATTTTTGTTCAGGTCTGGTAAGAATTTCTTCCCTGATTCTACGTGAGACTTCTTCCGAGCACCGAGCTCGGAGGAACGGATGCTGCTCAGAAGCATAAGCCAGCGCTTAGACACACGAGCTGAGTTGCTTCTCTCCTTGTCTCCTGGCAATCGCCTGAGGATTTCGAAGAGGCATTCGTCAGGAAGGCTGTCGATCGAGCGGGGCTGCTGCTTCTTGTAAGCAACTTTCTTCTCTGCCCTGAAGGCGAGCGGAGCTGTGACCCGGGGCCTTTTGCGAGAGGAGCAGTAGACATCAACGTTACGACTGAGAGACAGGAGCAGGCTCGAATCCACGAGGTTCGAGAAAAGAGAGCCACCATGGCAGATATCATCACTACCTGCAACACCAAGAAGATGGGAGGACGGTGAGATAAACATCATCCTCATGGAAACCCCTAAACCGCGAAAATAAATCATGGCAGATCTCAACGCAACAAAAAAATTCCAGCATGCTAGTACTAAAGAACAAGCAAGATGCTGTCTTGTAATCTTGATTCCCCACTAATTCATAGCTATATCTAAAACTCCATGGATCTCGTGTCAATCCCTCCTAAAACTGGAAAACACAGAGATCTGTCCTCCAAAACACAGTAAAAACTACCGAGCACGCCCAAAAAAATCAGATTGAACAAAATTAAACCCGACACAAGAGTCATACCACAGCATCCAACCAATTTAATCCAGATTTCCAGTTTCAAACTAAGGAAAAAATCATCAAAACCAACAATACAAACAAAATCCCACAGAGAAACGTAAAGATCAAACAGATCCGAAGAAAAATCCACCGCTTTGACAAGAAACAAACACATAGGCCAACAGATCTAGAAAATAGCAGAAAAGGGATTACCTCCGCGGTTGACGAGCGCCGCCATGAGCACAGACGAAGGAGCAGAAACCCGAAGAAGCCGGATCCGACGAGCACGAACACCAACAGCAAAAGCAGCAACAAAAGGGAGCTAATCGACGACAAAAACAGCAACACCCGATCAGCAGAGTCCGCCGAACGCATCAGAAGACAAGCCCCATACAGATCGGCCGATCTATGAGGGGGAAAAATTAAGAGGAGGAGGAGGAGGAGGACGAGGAAGAAGAGGGGAGAGAATGGAGTGGGTGAGTTGGGGCTTCGGCTCAACATAAAAGAAGGGGGCGGACGAATGGACGGAGGAGATGACCCCGCAGGGACTGACCTCGTGTGCTGTACCGTGAGGGTGTAAACCCCATTATGCCCTTTGAATGCATTGCATCCGTCTCCCATCAGCGCCGGGGGGAATGGGCCACGTTTGCCAATTCTCAACGCATTTATCCTTTCTTTTACATATGTATCCTTCCGATGTACAAACAATAACATATTTGCCCTCACAAATTTCAATTTAAATGTAGCACATGTTCCTTGATATCATCCAGCTCATATTAATTATGTCTAATATTAGCTAGCTTAAGTCAAAATACTAAATAATTATAAAACTAATTATCAATTTAACTATTAGTTCCACTATAGTTAACACTAATTAATTCAAATTTAAAATACATTAAGTACCTAAAATGTTTCTGATGTCTTTGTAATCCCAAGGACTTTTTAGTAATTACATTCATCACATATCTCTTCTCTGTCACCAAATTTCTATTATATATTGAGCGAGAAATATATTTTGCCTCTTTTCCTTTTTATCAAAAATGCCACCAGAATTATCATGTTGATAATGTATATGGATTAAAAAGAGATGGAATCCATTTAGTCCATTTATTGTTCCCCCACTGACTCAAGTCAACCTGACATAGCATATCCCTAACGCCACACATGTCCACTTCTCCTACTCCATTCTC